GTGCGCTGATAAGAAAAAAAACCTTTTCTCTATATTTTCTTGCGATGTTGATTTGACCAGGGCTTAAACGCAGACCCTGCAGAGTGGTAGTGCGCACTATTAACCACTACACCACAGCCCCCATCAAACTATATTAATACATTTAATTAAAACACTAAAAAAATGTTCGTCGAATCGACGAATGGTTAGGGTTTAAGGGCATCGGGAGAATGTAAGGTTTCTGTGACGTGGTAACGAGTGTTGTTAAATAACAGAGGCCAGCGGTGGTTTTTCTCTCAAAATACTTATAAGCAATTTGGGTAGGTATTAGGTACTAAGAAACGGCAAAAAAATGAAAAAAAATCCATAACATAAATTTTCTAAATAAAATTACTTCTTTCATTTTTCTTAAGGCTCTAGACTTAACTTACGTAAGAAATCGTCAATGAATATTTAACATGTCACCTTGGCCAGAAGCGAAAATATTTTGTTTTTGAATTTTCCTTTTCAACTGATTGCCACTTTGCCGCCTAAAAGCCACATCAAATATTTATTTAGCCAATATAGTAAGTTACGTTACGTCAATTAAGTCTAGACTAACATAGCCTTTAGTGTTACCGTGTACTATGTACAAGCCATGTGTAACTCACCGAGAACCACTTGTATATATCATTGTGTGGTTATGTTATTTTAAGTAAATACAGTTTCAGAGATTTCTCGACACTAGCGACACCTATCGGGTAACTAAAAAAATATATTCTTATTTAGGTGAGTAATATATGTTGTTTATTTGAATCAATTCGTAGTGTGAATATGACTCCATCGACACATATCGGGACAATTTTTAACAAAAAAGTATTTATATTTTCGTGGGTTTAATATGTCAAACTGTAAATATGGTTTTTGGTTGATACATACGCCAACTCCGGTGCAACCTATCGGACGAATTTTTAAATAAAATATTTTTTTACGCGACAGCTGTGTAATGTTTTGAATTTGAAACGATTTTTAGAGACATATCGACGCCAGCGCCATCTATTGGACTGACTTTTAAACGAAATATTTCGAGTCTATAAAGTACAAAGCACAGACACAAACGGTATTTTTATATATATTACATTTCATAAATATCTATTTTCCCACAACTAATTAAGTGCCAACATCACTCAATAATTATTTTGCATTAAAACTTTTTAAACAACTTCAAATGATTCCATAATTAATTTTTTTTGTCATTAATTTTAAAATTAAGTGGCAGCACCACCGATTGCCAATAAAACCATGCTGATGAGCAGAACCAATCCAATGATAATTTTTCCTGATAAGGTTTAAAAGTTATACGCAGTTTTTCATGTTTATACGCAAGAGGATAAATTATGTTCCATTTTTAAATGGGTGGCAGCTTTATTAGGAAATATTCATTTTTAAACTTACTTATTGAATTAATTTAAATTTTAGTATGTATGTAAGTGGCACCTCTTTTGTTTTGAAACTCAAAAATAGGTTTGGATTAAAACTCTCTCAAGCACCATTCCTTTGCCCTCAATCTTGTAATATTTTGTGTACTTATTGAATACTTTTATTAGAGAGAGATGGCAACTACATGATTTTCTCTCAATACCTTCAACATTAACCTTCATATTTCAGGCAATTTACATAAAACCTTAATAAATTATGTACGGAAACCTGCCGCATTAATAACAACGTCTAAAGCTTTAAACTGTAAACAAATTCGCTAAGTAGTTTTAGAGTTTAACGAGTTCAGACAGACAACTGGCGCTTTGGGGACCTTCATTTTATAATATGTATAGATTAATTAATTTTTGTATTTTATATGAAAATTTAAAAAATTCAAAAATCACTGAAAATACTGAAAATTTAAAACTTTTTTGGGTTCGACAACTACACCTCAATAGGGCAGCAGAGTGGCTTCATACTTGTTATAAAAAACATTATTTATGTATATGCACATTTTCGAAATCAATATCTTTTCGAGGTAATTACACATTTTTTTCGCGACCCAGCCTAATACAAATAAATATCAGATTAAATATCAGATCACAACAGCTGCATATATTTTCATACACACCATTTTTAAAGTACGTTTTCTAGTACTCTTTGAACCACTTTCTCGCTAAGTTGCACTTAGGTTTTTAAAATTTTTTTTTATTGAGTAACCTTGTTGACATCGGTTATTATCTCTGATTGCTTTTAAATACATGTATGTATATGCGAAATTCTCTATTATTAAATATTATAAGAAATTGATGATTCACATCAAAGTAATTTGCGTTGCTTAGTTTTGAAATTAGCAGGGCTTTTTTTTATCTATTTATATATGTGTACAATGTACATATGACATTAATTTGTATTCACGTAAATTCATAAGTAGGTACACTTGCGTATTCCAAATAATAATAAAAAACCACAAAAAATGATCAATAAACATTTTACAGTTGTGAAATTAATGACTTTAGCTATTTGGAAAACACTAAAGTTTGTTTTAATGCTCTTCACATTTTCAATTTGCCGTAAATCACAGTTTGCTATTTTTAATATATTATATGTATGTATGTATGTATGTACATATGTATGCATGCATTTACTTGTGTTTACTTGCAAATGAGTATGTATTTTTAGCATGCAAAAAGCTAGGCTTATTTTGTTAAGCTATTTAGTACTCGTATTTGTAAATTCCCCCCGAGCAGGTTGAAAATTAAGAAAAATACTTCCGTATCCACCCACTGCACCTTGCTGTGTGTGTGTGTAGGTACAAATGTAGTAATGTGTATGCTTGTATGTCTATTTATTTGTCTAATTCATTTAAAGCTAACTTGAGAATTTGTTGATGTTTTCTATCGAAATTAATTATTACTGGCGAGGTCAATGGTTAAAAAAAAAACAGAGGTGAAATTTTGCAATTAATCGAAAAACGTGGTTAATTACATTTGCAGTAATGTATGAAAGTACATATGCATATTACGACGACTCACGAACAAAGTTAACTTCTAGCATCAGCTCAAACTTTCTTAAAAAACCTTTAACTTTCTGTAATAAAATTTAGCCTACCACATCAACACTAATGGAAGTTTTTCTGATAGCTCACCTTTGTTTCAGTCACTGGTCCTAGATAATGGACAAATTTAAGTTTCAAATAAGGTTCAACTAAATTTTTGATGTAATTTTCGGTAATTTTCTTATAAAAATTCGAACAATTAAGTCACAACTGGACTAATTTTCATTTGAAAAAAAAAAAATGAAAGGGTTAACTAAATGAAAGTCATATGTGCATACCATGGAAATGAAAATTAGTTATAAATTTGCGAAATAGTAATTAATTATACCAAAAACTGAATTTTTTAGCATTTCGGGAGAGATTTTGAAGAAATAATTACATATTGCCTGTATTCTCTTATTACATACATACATATTTCCTGTGAGAAAAGTTTTTCGATACAAATAATATTTTTTCATTAAAAATGTGATGTTAAGGAGTATTTTCAACACGCTTCTGCTCAAGAACGACGATGACTTGACACAAAATATTCTGAGGGGAGCTATAAAATTGATCAAATTTCATAATTCGCTTTGGAAAATAAAACTATTTCTTCTTCTTTGGAACATGGAATGCACCTAAATAAGTAAATGTATATAGAAGGTTTGAAAATTTTTAATTCAAAAACCTCAACGTCTATATATATGTAAGTATACCCTTGTGGTCAGCTGAATACTTAAGTCAAGTGACATTTTGACCAGTTTTGCCTATTTTTATTTTATCTATTGAAGGTTTATAATTTTTTTTATAAAAGTCTATCACATTACGTAACCAGCACCACATAAACCTACATTTAAAACTTCGTGAAAAGATTATAAAAGTTCCACAAGCTTTAACAATTTCACCCAAAAATTTTAAACTTTTTATTCAGTATTTTTAGGGAAATTTTGGGTATCCAAAATGGGTTATAGCCCATTAAATTTTAGTTGGTTAAAGTACAACACGCTGGAAAATCGCATTGATTTTTAATAATTTTTTTTGGCTGACGGTGTCGTGCATTTTCTTCAGTATTTTTAGCAATATGATTTAAAAAAATTATTCATAATTTATTGAGGATAAAAATGTAAGTTTCCTCAAAAATATTTGCGGAACAAATTACTTTTTAAACATTATTTTTTAAGAAAATTATGTCTATGAAGTATATAAAAGGTTATGTGTGAAAAAATTGCTACTTTGGGGGAAAAAAATATTTGGGGGAAAAATTGGGGGAAAACATATACATACTTAAAAAAAAAAATATTATTTTATGGGAAAAAATTATGAGACTAACGAAAATATTTTTAATTCAAAATTAAGAAAAAATGAGCTTTTAGTTAATATTAATAAAAATTTGAATGAAAACATTATCTTTTACATTGAAACAATTATTTTAAAGGCGAAATGTTTTTATTTAGCACTCGATGAATAATATTTCACAATTGAAATCATGATATTTGAACTACATATAGGCTCATGGTCCTGAGAGGGTTAAATATACCTCTCTAAATACGAAGTGTTTAGGTATTTAATATCAAATCAAAAAAAAAATAAATACTTAAAATTAAAAGGTACTGCTTATTGATGAGTGAATATGAAGTTTTCTGGTCACATGAAACTTAAAATTGGTGTAAAACCTAACAGAAAAATGCAAGTGGACTCAATGAAAGCTGGTTAGAAGTTATTTTTTTGAACCCTTGTAACATCCAATTGAACGTTAAAATAGGAGATATAATTTAATTTGCGAATTCAGGCGTGGCAAATATCAGCCTTAATACCAACTCTTAACGCTTTCAAACTAGAGCATATTCAACTTTAAAATTGGGGACTGTGCAGAAAGACTTTGTATGTACGATTTATAGAATCCGTCAAAAAATTCAACAATTAATCAGAAGTAGGCTTCAAAACTCGATTATTTTCGAAATTTAATATCTCCTATGTACTTATCTCAATCATCACCATCATCATTTTCAAAAACTAACTCACTTACCCTTGACATTAGCCGATCTGCACCAGTTCCTTCATCATCCTTAAATATAATATCCTTATTGTAATTTGGTACCAAATTCTTAAATTTAGGCGAATTTCTCTTGATGGCGCCCTCATTTAGACCGGAAGCGCCCAGTGTACGCTCGGACATATTCGGCACGTGCTGCTTAAAAACGAGAGGCGTAAGTTTGCGATTTTTTCGCGGTCCACCAATACCCCGACCCGGGCCGCAACCCGCTGCAGCAGAGAAGAATGTGCAGAGCAGTAAAAGGGTGCATAGACGACGCATAGTTAGGCGACGGCTTTGCGCAAAAGCGCCTCCACAAATTCGTGTGGTATCTATGTCGGCAAGGGGTGATTGTTCGGCGGAATCATGCAGCATCACCGGCGCATTGTTGGTGAGCATGGTGGGACACGCGGCTGTTGTAGGTGAAACTGGAGAGGCGGGATGATGATGGACGGCAGTGTTCGCGTAACTGGTATCGCCGGTAATACTTTGACCTCCGCGTCTCCTACTTTCGGGCATTCTTTTACAAATCTTACAGCACTTTATGGTTTTGGGTTGTTGCAGGCGTTCTTCAGGCACAAAATCTAACTGTACTACAGCGGCTTGATACATTTTAAAATGAATCTGTGTTTTTGTTGTTTGTTTTTTTTATGCTGATATGTATTTTGTTTTACGCAAGTTATTTTGTCCGTTAAATCAATTTTGTTGTACTTTTTATGTGATAGACATTTGACCTATTTGGCGTATTTTCATAGCTGCAATTATTTTTTACACGATTTTGTTTCGATTTCTTTTTTTTTTTGTTTACAGTATTCCGTTTCAAGTACTTGAACCAACACATTAATTTGCAATACAACAAAAAATGATAATTTTCAAAAACATCTCGCAAAATTTAACACTTTTATTTTCGTGCCCGTGGTGCCAATATTTTTCGCAAATTGGCGTCTTCAATGAGCGCACACCTAGCTATGAGCGTACGCATGCACATTTGAGCACTAATTAGCTGCAATTTGTGACTTTTACACTTTCGCATTCGCATACGGTATGCACGAAAGCAGCTAACTAACAAACTATCGTCGCAACTGTGCTATTAACTTCAACTGTGGCCAGTGTACTCGCTCACTGATTGACAAATGACATTTCAGCGCTGTATCGACGAGGTTGCTGTCCAGAACTCGGTCGAAGGCACGTTGCTGTCGCCGTAGCTGCTGCTCCGTCCACATATGTATCTACTTTCCGACGTTCAATATTCCGGTTCATCCCGGTAGCGTTCACTTCGCTCCCAAGCACTACTACATACATACATACATGCATATATACAAGCATAGTTGGCGCTCCAAGCAAAATTCATTTTCATATCTCCTCGCAGCGATGAATTGAAACAGCCGACGACGCAGCCAGGTAACAAACACTGATAAAATGAACCACAAAGTACAAATCTTAAGTGTATTCTTCACATACGCGCCCACACACACACATACAAAAAACCTGAATATCCGTACATATGTACATACAACATGAAACCGAAAAGGCGCAAGTGTAAGTGGTCGTTAAATGCGTGGCGCAGTAAACGACATGCCAATTGTTGTTAGGGGCGCGCAGCTTATAAAAACGCACGCATACACACCCACATTTTACGCACACAACGCTAGGATTGATAGTGTCGTTTCATTGGATTATTTTCGGCGCTGTTTAGTTGCGCGTTCTTCATCCACAAACGACGACGAAGTTGTTGTGTCCCGGTTTTCGGCCATCAACAATTTAGCTTGTTATTTGGACCTCTTGACGCATGCGCGCAAAAGAGACGAACAGAGTGCATGGCCAAAGAACCACAGGGAACCAATTGAAACATACAAACACATATTTAGAGACTTGCACACACTTATGCAATTGATGGCGAACCTATACATGACAATATTTTTACTTGGTCAGGCCTATATAAAACAGAAATGAAATGGTACCAGAGAGCCAGGCTTTAGCCCAATTGGAGTTGCTGCACATGGATTTTTTCACCTGCATGGTGTGGCGTGAGCCGTCGTGAGCCGTGCGCCGGCTTCTTAACATTCAGCTTCTTACAAATATTAAAGATGTTTAATGGAAATTATTTCAATATCTATTAGTTACAACGAAATGCGGACAAACAACTTTTTGTTTAAATGTTCCTACGAGTTTTTATGAATGTTTTGGTGAAAAGTAAAAAGAAAATAAGAATTTTTGGTATGCGGCAGAGAGAGTGTCGCATTTTATTTATCTACCCGTATTTAGTACATAAAATATTCGTGTATTCATATACACATGTATGTATGTATGTATATGCATGCATACATACTTACATAGGAAATAACATACCCGGTTGGGAAAGAAATTGAATTCCATAAAGGCATTTGGGGTATTCACACCTGGTTGGTTGTTAGATTTTCTGGTTAAAAATTATTATTCTCTAGTGTGTTTTGTTTTTGTAAACTTAGCCAGATAACCTGATAACCAGGCAGGTGTGAATATCCTAATAGCAAAATTTTATAATATTAAAGAAACCTAGTAGAGATTTTCAGCTCTGACTGACTGGTAACGCTTTCTCAGGTCTGACTAGAGGATGGGGGAAATGCTCAACCCGCAATAACACCTCGATCAACATCTGGTGTGCATCATAGACCTTCCGAGACCACTATTGCCAATACCGTGTAATCATATTATATCACACCTCAGGATTATTTTCATTGGGATTATCTGAAGTTAAAAGTCGTCGACGATAAGCCAGCTACGATTCAATAAAACTTGGAAGCCAACATTACTCGCGTAATTCGCGCAACGCTGGAAAGAGTAATTGAAAATTGGACCTTCCGAAGGGACCATGTCAAAGAATCTTCTCTCGGGTGATGATGATTCCGATATCCAGCTTTGTTTTACGTGTTTTTTTGAAATTATAGATTGCACTCAAATTTCTATAAAACGTATTCTATGTGTGTCTGAAATGTAGAGCAAATCGAGTATTGGTTAGATGGACTTTTATGAAAAGTTCACGCGATAGCCACAGAGGTTCCCGAGTAAGAAGATTTTTCAAGGAGAGAGAGATTTAACGATTAAAATGCGATAATTTGAATATGCCCAGATTTGTAAACCTGCTATTAAATAGTAGCTGCTCTATATTTCTTCTCGAATTGTGATAGCACAAATTTCAGTGGCGCTTGTTTGCTTGGGCATGGCTTGGATTATTTCCCCGTGCTCTCGTATGCTTCCTTATTTTCGAAAACACCATAATTTCCCGGGGAGCACTATTAATTGGCGGTGTGCTACCGAAGATAGGTTCCTTTGACATTAATCTGATTAATCCTGATTGTGTTTATTCGTTATATGGAAGCAAAAGCGCCAATGTAATGTCAAGAACGTTTACCAAAAAGGACAAACGGGAAGAAAAGTATTGGGAGCAGTTTGAACGGGAAAAATCGAGAACGAAAGGTTTGGGAACGTTTCTGTAAAGACCAAAAGGCGAACAAAACCCTCGGGAACGATCTCAAGAAGAACAAAATGAGAACGAAACTTTCGGGAACTTTTCCGATGAGAACGAAAGTATCGAGAATGTCTTCAAAAAGGATCAAATAAGAACCAGAGAACATAACTAGAATATTAAAAATGAGAGGGGCCTCTGCGTGTTGGGATGAAAACTCGGGAACCTTGTCATTACAACTTTCAGATCGCTTATCAATAGGGTGTACTGTCCTTGTTTAGATCAATTTTTCATTTTCTGTGCAAGAAAAGTTCGTGTCTTAAGTCTTTCGTTAACTTTATTTGCTTGATTATCTTTATGTTCTTTTTTGATCAATGCTAGATAATATACAAACATTTCAAATTAATGGAACGCTATGAGAAAAATTCTGTTCTCGCTTCTACATATACTTCGCAAATAGTTCATAGAATATTTGTTCCCGTTTTGTTCTCTGCCAAAAAGTTGCTGAGAATTTTGTGCTCGTTTTGTTCTTTGCGAGAAAGTTCCGGAGACGTTTGTTCCCATTTTGGTCTCTTAGGAATGTTCCTGAAAGTATTGTTCGCATTTTTCCCCACATGTTTTTTTTTCTTATATAATTTCCGTTGAGAACGTTATCGATAGTTTTGTTCTCGCTTTCGTTCTTGTGAAAACACTCCCGAAGATTTTGTTCTCGTTTCGAACTTATTGGAATAAACGTCCACCTACGGGAACAGTCACATGGATAGTGCAGAATAACACGTAGATATTAGGAAATAATGCGTCCATCTTTAATTGGTGTAACTTGCTTACCAATTGGTACGGAGAAAAATGTTTTGTGCCTATGTTCGTCTTTAAACGAATAAGTTTTTTCGACAAATCGATAGAAACGTTCATTGGTACTTGCTTTTGTAGGATTTCTTCGTTTAGCCCAGAGGTTTCCAAACTTATTTTTCTCGTAGATCCTTTTCAAAACTTGTAGGCCCCTTTTTTGAAGTTCTGAATAAAATGGCATTCGACCTTCTAAATGTCAAGTGTTAAAATGTTCTAGAAAATTATTCGCCGAAAAATTTTACCAGAAAAAAAAAACAAATAAGGCCCATTGATACATGCAACATCTCTTTATGCTATCATTTAGTGGCATTTACTTTTCCAATGAACATAGCTGTGTATACCTAATCAAAAATGTACCCTTGTCTACAATTTATTTCCTGAGTTTCGAAAATCAATTTTTTACTTTTCTTGGGGCAAGCCTTGCAGCATCAATGAAAATGAACACCATGCCAAAAAATATTCAGTTAACAAATTTTCGACACTAATTTGACTGTACTAAAATAAAGATTTCTGATATCAGAAAATCTCCAATCTTAATAAATTGGTTTATTTTTCTGCCTTTCCAGGGTTTCAAAAGAATAATCAGAGTGGTTGAGCGCGAAAAGTCTTTGATTAAGTGTCGACCTTAACCAAAACTTGGGCTAAGCATACATATTCGGGGGTGACCCAAAAATTGAATATTTTAATGATTCACAATTATNGACCTTAACCAAAACTTGGGCTAAGCATACATATTCGGGGGTGACCCAAACAAGTGGACACGTGTTGAATATTTTAATGATTCACAATTAATTTCAAGTTAAATTTTGTTCTCATATTTTTTAAGGTTTAATTAAAGCCATATACTAAACATGAATCAAACTTTCAAACTGTATACGAAAATTAGGAAAGTTGAAAAAATTTTAATTAAATTTTATCTAAATCTTTAGCATATTTTTTGCTGTGTCTTTAAAGCCCATACAATTTTAGTCTAATGAAGTACAAGTTGCAAGGGGCTAAAAAATTGCGTGGATTTTTGAATTTTTTTTGCTGACGGCTTTTGCCATTTTTTATGTTTTGATGAATTTTTTTTAGATAATTTAAACTTGTAAAAGCCTAGGTTTTCAAACCATTCTAGAATCTTAATATTTCTCTTATATTAGAGACTGTGTTTGCTGCAGAGGGTTATAGCAACTAGGATACTCCCTTTAAAAAATTATGCACATTTCTTGTTCGCTTCAATTACAATATTTTCTAAATAAATATTATATTCTATACTTTCTATTGTTAATAAAAATCCAAAGTAAACAGGTTAAAGGTCATGTAAAATAATCATTTGCTAAATTGTCTTTTCCAAGTAATTTTGTGATAAACTTTGCAAGCTTTGCTTCTGTTTATTTTAAATTTGCCATTAAATTGCGCGTGAATTGTTTTATGACAAACATTCTTGATATTATTTACCATTATTGCTTATTCGTAGAAATACTCATTATCATCACTGTTCTACAAAATTTATGGTTCACTCGAAGTGGTCAATAAATTTTTAAGTTTGTGAAGTGAATGTCAAACAGCTAAATCAGTAGCGTCTGTTTTGAAGTAATTTCCGTTTTCGATTTGCCATAAATTTAATTTTTCTATTTTATATTCATTTATTTATTTGTAACTAGTATATAAGCGAACCAAACGCTTTCTTTCATAAAGGAATATTTTACGTGTTAGATTAGATAAGGAAGACGTGTAAGAAATTTTTATACTTCTACTCTCTGTCCCCTCTGAATGCCCTCTGTCAGTGCCAGATGGAAGTATGTACATTCATCTGAACTGCCTCAGATGAAATTGAGGAGAACCAATAGTTTAATTTTTCTTCAAATGAAGAAATAACTCAAAAATATTTCAGAG